TCAAATTATGTATATTTACAGACTATACACATAGTAAAAAAAAAAAAAAGAAAAAACTGAGGAAAAATTTGTAACACACATAACCACAGACTAATTTCCCAAGAGATGAGGACACTTACAAGTCAGTAACAAAGTGAACAACCTATGAGAAAAATGGGTAAAGGACACAAACAGTAGTACGCAGAAAATAAACAGAAATGGCCAATTTATCAAAATCAATTATAATACAAGGAATGCAGATAGGTATAAGATTCCTTTCTATCGCTTACTAAATTGGCAAAGATCAAAGAGTTTGACAACAGCTTGAGTTAGCAAGGATATACTGGTGGAAGTATCAAGTAGTACTATCTTGAGAGCAGTTAGTAAAACGAATCAAAATTTAAAATGCACATATTCCTTAATTCTAGAAATCTAGCCAATAGAAATGCATCCATATGTATGCAAAGATATCTATAAGGCTTTTCCACTGTAGCTTTGTCTATAGTATCAAAATTTTTTAAACTTCATTTATTTTAAAATATCATATTTTTAAAATTGCAGTATAGTTGATGTACAATATTATATGTTACAGCTACACAATATAGTGATCCACAATTTCTAAAGGTTATACTCCATTTATAATTATTATAAAATACTGGATATATTCCCCACTTTGTACAATGCATCCTAGTAGCTTATTTTATACCTGATAGTTTGTACCTCTTAATCCTCCACCCCCATCTTGCCCCTCCCCTTTCCCTCTCCCCAATGGTAACCACTAGCTCCTTCTCTACATCTGTGAGTCTGTTTCTTTTCTGTTATATTCACTAGCTTGTTGTAATTTTTTTAGATTCCACATGTGATATTTTACAGTATTTGTCTTTCTCTGTCTAACTTATTTCACTTAGCATAATGCCCTCCAAGTAAGGACCATTTATTCTAATTGGCCTGCCTCCTCACCATTTCTCTCCATGTCTTTTCCATTTCTGTTTTCTCATTTAGTCATTTATTCATTCAGCAAATATTTGTTGAGCTCCTGCTATATGTCTAAGTGTGATATTAGCCACTGGAGACATAACGTGAATAAAACACCTAACCCCTGCCCTCTCAGAGTTTGTAGTTTAGTGGGAAATGGCAGTTACAATACAGTGTGAAAGTGCTTTGAGTGAAGGAAGTACATGAGGGCACTGTGAGAATACAGCATCAAAGATTTAAGGTGACATCTTAAATGTCCACCAGTGAGGAACCTAATGGATAAATCATGGTATAGACGTAACAGGATACTATACAGCCATTTATATTTTTAAAAAAAGGAAAAAATCATTCAAATTGATAATCACAAAAAAGACAAAATGTCCACTGACAGATGATTAGAT